AGACTTTGAGCTAAGGGGGGTGGGGGTTGCTTGCCCTGCTAGCTTTTCTTCCAAAATAAGGGGGGTGGGCTCCCCGGGCCCCTCCCCTAGATCCGTCACTGTCATATTACCTACATACAATGAATTTTACCATAATGCTCGATTAAATTTTCCAAGCTAACCTTTTTACTTAGTCTCCCCTAAGCGCCTCTCAAGGCGGAAAGCTATAAGAAAGGAACTACTCTTTTTAGAGTTTTTAGCCCATTAAAATTGCCTGTCTCTTTTGTTTGTGGAGATGCATTCTTAAACAGGAATAAACATTGAAGATTGAACAGTCCCCTGCATGTATTTATGTTCCTTGAAATCTATTTATATCCCTTTCGGCATCTGGGAGTTTAGAGCTTTTACAGCATGGCTCGTTGTTCCCTGGAATAATTTACGGACCAAAAGACAATGCATAAAACCATTCCAGTGCACCACGTTGGGAATGCCCCCACCTCCACCCCCTTATCAAGACTAATTCGGCTATCTCATTTACTTTCTGTCTGTAAAGAGATCGTGTCACTGTAAATAGGCTTGGTGCCGTCTTGCGCTATATTCGATCTAGACCTAGTGGATTTTTATCATCCCTTGTTTCTCGTTTAATTTCTGCGACTCACAAAGCTTCCAGGACTTGTCAACTGAACTATTTCTTGGCGTTGATGTCACTTGTCACAAACCACTCAACATTGTAAACGATAATACGAGCACTTCCCATTAGCACACTGTCGGCCTTGTCGGGTGGTTAGATAAGCTCATATCACAATTCTGCTTTTATCTTGGACCCTGGTTAATGACAACTGTTGAAAATTACCAAAACATTCCTAGTAATTACAAATGGGAAAGGAAAATGTGGAAGAAAAAAATGTCTGTGGGAAAATAAATTCCAGTCTTTTCCGAACTTGGAAGATTGGTCAGACCTATGAACTCATTCAACGCATATGAAATGAAAAAACACGGAAAACGCAGACGGGGCAAAGAGGAAAGAGTATCTTAAATTACAACATAAACACATCACGAAAAAAATCCCGAGTTTCCGTAAAGAAAGAAAGAAATGGGTGAAAGGTCACTATCGATGGAGAGTGGATGTTTCGAGAGAAATATTACAACCATTCTGACTCACGGGAATATTATAACCCGGCAAATGTAGACTGCAATAAAATAAGCTCAAAAGTTTGGAAAACACAGGGAAAGTAGCTACCGAGAAACTGGTTTTGGGTGGGCATACAGCTTTTCCAAATTAACGCTGTTAATCTCGTGTGCGTTTCACAGGAAAGATTCTCGATTAAATGTTGTAATAGGAAAACCTTATTTGTGGCAAATTTTCGGTTGTATGGATGCGATCTCACCGAAAGACTCTAAAGGGAAGAAAAATTGAGCAGCTGTGGGTGCTGCTGGGAGTTGCTCAATGTGCAATCCGCGAACAATCGTATTTGGTATTTAAATGTATCTCGGGATTTGTTGCAGTAACATGGCTTGAGGCTCAGTAGGTTTAATCTACCCTTAATAAGTGGTTTAGCTTACCTGGATTGAAATCGTTGGCGTAAGATGCAGGAAAACAATAGTAATCACAAAAGCACACCGATTCATTGTGCAACAGAAAGGATGAGCAGCTTTCGGAAGATTTTCCAAACCTTCTTTACGACAGATAGTTGACTAAGATGACACTCAAGATTAAGATGCGGAGGGTTGCGTTTTCAGCTTCCTCGGGAGAATATTCATGCATCTTATGAGATTTTTACTTGAGAGGTTTTGATCGTTTGCAAGATTCTCAAAACATGTCATACAGGATGACCATAACAACTTAGAAAGGTGTTAATTGAAACCCAATCCGGTAGCTAGCCTTTGACCATGTTCTGCGTTTGCGATAAAAGCCCTTGACGATCTGGTTACTGTGTCGGCATCTTCACACCTCTTTTGCACGACAGGACGTGAGAGAAACGAGAATTTAGAGAAAACGGAGTTGAAAGAAGCTGTCATTTCCATAATACGCTGGTAAAGACTGAGCGAAAATGAAGAAAACGTTTGTTAAACACTCGCTTTTGTAAACAGCCTGTCAGTATTTTAAAAACGAAGTAGCTCAGCTTGACTGGAGTGTAGTGAACAAAGGTTATCGATAGCCTTCTAACCTTATCATACTCACGGAATGGGTAATTATAAATTTCAAGTTCAGAGGAACACGCCAAACTTTAGAAGCGTTGTTTATACTGTTAAGTTTTCCCATCAGAAGAGAAACAAATCTGGGACAACACGAACGTGGGAAAATTTCATTTCCGATAGGAGGCCAATCCATATCTCTATGATAGTAACTTTTCAATTTCCGCAGTTTCTGTGGAATTTGCTGTTCTCAGATCTTATCACAGGTTACATGTTTTCAGGAGTGAAATGATACACTGCGTGAATGACATTACGACAACTTTGTAGACTTCCAAATTAGCGTTATTTGTTTATTTTAATGAAAGCTATTTTTCTTTCAGTCCAAAACTGTCGATCAGATTTATTAAAACTGAGAATGAAACGATAAATGATGGGCGTTTTGTGAAATACTTCATAGCGCGTCAAAATTATTGATAAAACATGTAACAAAGGAATCCTTGCCGCAGTATGTGTGGCTACATATTAGAACAATAATTATCACAAGAAAATAACACGCAGACAATTTATGGCAGAGCAGTTGTGTTCTAGATAAGAAGGCAACATACACAGCCCGCACACGAAACAAGAAACAAACATTTAATCAAAATGGCAATTCCTTGATTCAAAAGGTGGTTTTACGTCTGAAGAAAATTACAAGGGAAAACGAATGAAAGTTGTAACCTATTTTTGTTTGAGTGTGATTTTAGTGCCCCAAACTATTTTCAGAGTGACGCGATTCCTAAATGATTATTTGTTTAATGCTATCTCCCTGTCAAAAGTCCAATCAAGTGCCGACAAAACAAATTACCCAACTGCACAGCAAAGGATGCGATAACAAACGACAAACGGAAATACTCGGACGGTGAATTGCATAAACAAAATGCTTATTCCTTAAATGATAGCCTTGTTAAGACTCGGTATCAAGATAAAATTGCGAGACGCTTGGAGGACCTAAAGGTTGGGGTTAACTGCGTGAGTTTCTGTTTCTGTTCATCAGCGGCAAATCATCCTGCGATTGATAAAACCGCCAAGAAACTTCACAAACCGCTGCCTCGATTTAGCACGGGCACTGTACAGTGCCGGCATGGTTACAAAGGACATTTGACTTGTATATCTTCTTGCAGTTGTGTTTAGTAAGGGTCGCACTTCATTACTCTTTGCTCTTTTAAATTCGGATATTTTTTTATCTTCTAATGATCGACAGGGAAAGGACAAAGAAAACTGCAGTTCTCAGTAAATCCCAATGCCGGAACTACGGCAAAAGGGCAAATAAAGTGTAGTTTATTGGCCAATATTCAACTAACAACAACTACAACAACAATAATCAGAACTCCCGGGTCAGAATTACTCTTCTTCAAGGGAAGAGATCCAGTAAAAGGCAAGTCAGACACTTTAGCTTCTCGTTGCGTGGTCCTCTACATGTATGCAAAAGGTGTCTTATTTAGGGGGGTGTGTCTGCTAAGCGTCGAGGTAACGTGGGATGGGATGGAGTTAGGCCCCATCCACTCTACGGAGAAAACGGAGGTTTCACTCTAAAAGCGCATCAAATGTTTTCCTTCCACACTACGCTGGAGGAATTTAAAAAAGCAACAATCACCGGTCATTTTGAATTTGTGTTTGAGGAAAACGCGGTCAGGGAAATCACATTATCATCGTAACGCCATCGTTTTCGAAAAGTTCCGTTTACAAAATGTTTTCCGTCCACACGAAAACGAAAAGCCGGCATTTTCAAATTCCTCTGGTTTGAAGAGCTTTTTCGACAAGTCCAGCTTTCGTGACGAGTTAGTTTGGACAGTAGGCCTAATTGCAGAAGTAAAGCTAAGTTTTCGAATTCCTCCGGCGTAATGTGGACCCTGCCTGAAGGGCTGGTCTGGATGCTGGTAATGTACAGTATTTATTTTGGTCAAATTATAACGCATTAAACACATTTCTCTTGTAACAAAACGATGTCATGAGGACAACTCTGATCGGCTTCAGCTCTCAAATAAAGTTCACCAGCTAGTAATCCAGTGACTTCTCCTCGACATACATTCTTACTCTATGTGTTACTCTTACCTTACAAAAGCATTGCCTGGTTACAGGATCACACGATTTGTTGACGCTACCGCGAACATCACATCCGCAATCAACTTCTAAAACAAAACACAAAAAATGTCTGCGCTTATGATAAGAGCTTCTGCAAGCGAGTGAAAATTAGAGTTCTCAGGCAAAAGAAGAAACGCGTTACTTCAGTCATAAGAACTCTCGCGATCACAAAACATTTGTAGCAAGTTTATTCACTCCTGAAAACGGTGAGGGAAGCAAGATTACAGTTCAGTAATCAAAGTGCAGTCTGATTTGTATCAATTTGATATGCTTGGATATCTGAGTGACAAAGATTAAAAAATCGAGATCATAATCCTTACCCAGTTTGCAGTTCCCACCCGACTCTGTCGGATTTCCAACATAAGGCTGAACGCATCTAAGAAATTAAACTGCAATCAATATGCATCGCAGTTTATAATATAACATTTTCGTATAAAAGTCCTTACAGGGCCTTTATTTATGACTCTATGACAGGTAAAATTCTTTTCTCGCGGGTGGAACTTAGAAAATAATTTACAAAAGAAGGAAAAACAGCAAAAACAAACAAACACCTTAAACAAAAAGAACATAAACAACAATAACGAGATGATAACAAAGCGTGCGCATAGTTAATAGAAGGAATAATTTTCAACGTCAAATTTTTACCTTTTCTGAGCTGGATTCGGAAAAAACCCAGAATTTTAAGCGATATCAAAAGTAAAGGAACAACAAGACGAGTTGGAAGATAGGCGACTGATATTGGGAATGGGCAAGAATATCAATCATACCATGTATCAGAATGACCCGAAATGCGAAACTGTGAACGCAAAATTGAAAAACGCAAAATCATCTTCAGCCATCATACGTGAGTCTATAGAACTATGTAAAACAAACTTGGCACTGGCAAAGTCCGAGTTTCTATCCTCACTAGCAGCTGTTGCTGAATAACATTGTTTCAATTCACGATGTCCTATTGAGGGTGCATTTGATGTTGGGTAACGCGAAAATCTTTCTTTCCTGAAAATACGCCACCGTTTCCATAAACCTACCTGTCACACCTCCTGCCGCCATACCCTGGCGGGCATGCATCACATGTCGGTTGACCATCCTCTCCCAAGAAACATGTGGGACTAAACCTAACAACCAAATAAAGACTTGAAGAGATTTTGTTTACAAAGTAAGAATAAATAGAAACATAAAGAAACGGCTGGTTAGGAAAAGAGACAGGGAAGGGAATGTACAGGTCTTTGACTTCCATATCTACCTGTTCGGTGGAGATGTCATAGGGCAAGGACATGGCTTGCAATCCGACGGTTTTCCAATTGCAGCGTTTCCATAGAAACCAGTCAGGCAGTTTTGACATCGAAACCCTCCAGTGTTGTGTTGACAATTCTGTTAAAGAAAACAAAATACTCACAGTCGCTGGGTAAGTGTTACTGTTTTCATATTAACTGACAGGACACATTACGGGAAAAGCCGCTGACCTTGCATTCTCCTGTTTCAGGATCACAGTAGTTATCACGTGAATGTCCATGACAATCACACATGATACATTTCCCAAGGTATGGTCCTACACGTGACCGATAGTAACCTGGTTTACAAGACTGTCAAAAAAGAAAAAAGAGAACTGCTAAGTAAATGGAAGTATGCCGAAATTTGAATTAAAATACAAGTTTGACAAGTTTAGGCAACTCTGTTACCGAATGGTCTTCTAATTGAGTGAAACATGGTAATACATGTACAATGATCTGGAAACTTAGTATGCTATAATTATGGTAAGCAATGAAGGAAACTGCTATAATAGCGTGGCTTATCACTCTTCAAGATCGTAAGTGTAGTAGAGCCTGCTTATATAAAGGAAATGGAACGGAAAGAAGCCATATAATGTTTTGTTACAAGAAGGCCTAGCAGATCTCTCCAATGGCTATCATGGAAACACTAACAAGCTTACTCATACCTCACAGGACAAACCCTTGTATTCTAATGGACATGCACACTGCTCAACCGAAGTAACACGTGACTGATTCGTTACGTCATTAATTGCAATGTCCATGGAAACTTCACGAAGACTGCAACGAAAAGGGAAACGAATGAAGACAGAACGAATAAATGACTGAATTAATAAATGAATGACTCATCTTTTCCTCAAGTACAAGCTATAGATCGTACGTTGTTTGTAACATCCGGGTATCGTAGGAGGCCTTGATCAAAAGTGCCTCGATCTGATGCAGTGCCATAATAAATTGGTCACGAGAAATTTCTTGACCGTCGCTGCCAGTCCAAGAGAGCTGTAAGGAAGGAAATAATTTTGAAAGGTTTTCTTGTTATATATTTATTTAATATTTATCCAAAGTCATTTAAAAATATAAAGGTAATCTACAGGGTCGGTAGCAGCTCTCGTAAGAAATGAAACATGGGCCTCAAAACAATAACAGCTGCTAACAAGCAAAAGAATTACAAGCTTACGAGAGCTGCTACACTGTTGAGTTTACACAGGGCCGTGACATAAAAAAGAGTAATGATAAATAAAAATTTATAGAAACATCTTACGTGTAATTTGAAATAAAGTAAAGAAACAAATGGAAACACAACGTAAGGAACAAACCTCGTAAAGCTTGACTTGGTAAGCGTTTTCCTCGCTACTGTCTGCAGGAGTTTCTTTAAAGTGGTAAATAGAGATGTCTTTTCCCTAAAGCATGTAAAAAAGACAAATTATCGTTACCAACTGGCATGTGAATAATTCCACCTGTTATCTCTCGTTCTTCGTTAATTGCGAGCTACAAGGGCTAAGAGGCGGCATGTTTTGGAGAAGATTGCTATCCCATAACGCTCTATAGAGTAGGTACTCGCCATAGCTTCTTATAGTTTCCTACAGATCTTGAAAGAAGGGTTGAAGACACGACATCAAGATCTAAATATTGCCAAGAAAAAATTTAAAAAGTAAAAAAATATAGACATTCATTCGAAAGGAAGATTGTCTTACAGTTAATTCGTCGCAGTTTGAGTGAAACATAACTTCAATTGACAGTTGTTGTCCCGGATATATAATGCGTACATTCTTTGGTAAGTTGTACCAAAACCACACGTTTGGATGTTGAACGGATTACTGCATGTGTGTTAGTGAGTGGTTATTTTGTAACTTTTTACTCTTTAATACTTACAACCAAGATGATATCTGGCGCGCGTATTGACTGCCCGTCAGAACTGGCGACAAACGAAATCACGTGGCTTAGAATACCGCCATATGACGTAACCTAAAAAAGAAATAAGCAAAATGATTTGATGAAGATGGTCATATTTTTCAAAATTTTTTTTAAAGATGTCGTTGTAAACCAACCTTGTTTCCAGTGTATTCTTGTGGCAACTTCCAGTATAAGATCTTGTTTTGAACGTCCTCCACCACAAATGACTGAAACGTCAGGTCTTTGGTCAGTGGATTAACGAAGAGATCCGAAGAATTTACTGGACTGAGCTCTGATGTGACAAGTGAGAAATTCAACAGCTCATTGACAGAGAAGGTAGATCGAATCTGACAAAAAATAAAAATAAACAACCAACTTGAAACTATTTCAAATTGTGTAAACCAGGTACTCAAGACTGGCTCTAAATTAAGAAAACAAACAAACGAACAAAAAAAATTCAGAACTCTGATTTGTGCGCTTCCCAGCCAGGGGCATGGATTGTTAGGACATGTAGATATCAGAGGTTAATGTTTCACGAAATCTCATTGAAATTACATTCGTCTTTAATGGGAAGTCACAAACGACAAAAATCAGTAAAACACTTTAATACAGATGGTAGAAGGAGATTCATGAATTGTCGTAAAACCAAGACCAAAGTAATCATTCTAGTCAAGAGACCATGATTTTTCTATCAGTCTCTTACTCCAGCCAATCACAAAGGACGCAGACAATACAGCGAACCAATCAAAGCTTGAAGTAATTACATGTAGCTGACGCCAAGCGCGGGAAAACGTGTACGAAGCAGTGACGATTGGTTTTGGTTTCACTTCTGATTGGATGAAATAGTGGCGCGGGTGTTCTAAGCCAATCGTGTGGCGAAGTGACGCAAAATCAATTTCGTTTCGACACTCAAGTGAAAACCGATCTATCTTAAGTTTAAACAAAGCCTGCACTTTATAAACTGACTTAAAATGTTGACTAGGCGCGTGTGTTATCAATATTTGCATGCGGTCAACGTCACAGTTTACCTGTGTCCTGTTGAGCAGAGCACTCTGGCAGCTGTCAGAAACTCCATTACAGAAACATGGTGTACAACCCTGAGGATTGTCAGCTTGGAGATTGAAAAATCCTGGTTTACATGTACCACAACTCACACCACCAACATTGGGCTAAAAACAAGTAAAGAGGACAGTCGTTAAACTAAATTTCAAATTTCCGTTAACAGACTCTGTGAGCAAAAACAGTTCAGTAGTTTTCGGGGAGTACGGAGCGAAGCTAATCTTCTTCCGAATCCTACTTTTAATCACCACGATATCAAAAAGTTAGTACAGTATATTTCCTATCCATGTGCAATCAATCAGTCTTAGCAGCAAACAACAGACGGAAGCTTACCGCGCATTCTTCTTTAGCGAGCTCACTGCAACTCACATCCGATAGTTTTTCTTCCTTCAAACTCACGTCCACTAGCTACTATAGCTATAGGCTTCGCTCTTGCTCAAGCTAGCACACGATGACGACGAAAACAACAACAACAGATATACAACAACAAATCTAAAACAAAGTAAAAGTCTGTTTCTTAACCTTGCACAAACATTTCTCTGCTCCGTTGTCCGCCTTAAGGTTCAAGCTGCCGCGGGAATCACAAGTTTTTAGTCCTGAAACTACGAGAAATGTAGTAAAAAATTACAAAGAGTGTTGCAACGCACAATGTGTATAGGAAACTGGATTTTGCAATGTTAGAAAGAAAGGATAACTGATTATGTTTAACACTAAACGCGCAAACTTGCAAGATACCTGGTACTTCAGTCGCTAGTTCACATTTAGAATGGTGTATCATGGGATTTCCAGTGAAGTTCACCGAACAGCTGTCAAAAATACAATATTATTATAAGATAACCAATGTAAAATAATTGTGACGACAGAAAACATTAACCTAACGCAACGCGTGAAAACTTGTTCAGTTTCCACTCTTTCTTTATCGGTTATTTCAAAACCTCATTCCTCGGCAGTTTTAGAAAACTGCCGAGGAATGAGGTTTCTGTCTTTAATATTGAAACATTGTGTGTGCTTACCAACCTGGAAAGTTTTGTTGAAAGTCAAATGGAACAGTACGTACTTTTCCGAAAAATCCGTTCGGAATTTGTGGACTTCTTTCACAGGTGCTCCTCATTTTTCCGTTGAGAGTGGAAAGTAGGGAATTTCCATCTGCCATCATCAGGAAACAAATAACCGAAAACCTTTACCACTGTTCTACTGCCACTCCAACTCGCTCCTTCTGTATTTCTTAATGTTGTCTTGCATTTCTTCACATGCTGAACATATTAAAGCACTAATGAAGCTCAAAACTTACAGCTCACAGTTTCGTCCGGCGTATCCTTCAGGGCACGCATCACATGTTGGAAGACCGTCATCCTCAAGAAAACACGTTCGGCTAAATCTTGAAAAAAAAAACAAAAAACCGCAGGACCTTATAAACAATAGACACAGTGTCTTCGTTCCATGTAACTGACAACTGTACGGTAGTTCACAAATTGTGAACTAGCATTGCATCGTAGTAAAACAGAGTAGAAACTGCAGACAAAATAAAGTTAAAACTGTTTTAAGATACGTCAATAACCGTAATTCTAAATAAAACGCATAATAAGTGAAATGTTCTAGTTGTCATTTTTCTTTGGCACTTGACTACGACTTAATGTACTGCCAGACTGAGTTCTGTTATAATACACAATTCGCCATATTTGCCAAGTAACACGTTAAGGACACCACAATTAGATAATAACACTCGTATACAGACATACTGATTTGGCGGTATGGTCAGCGGACATGGACACGGTTGGCAGTCAGTTGGGGTACCCTCCAAGGCGTTTCCAAAGTAACCTGATTGACACCTGTCACAATGTAAACCCTCGGTGTTGTGATGGCAGTCCTAATTAAAATGAAAAATCTAGTCATTACAGAAAGTCTATATCCTTAAGAAAACTGCAAATTTTAATCATTGCGAAATCACGCGGTTTGTGTTTCATTCAGAAGCATCCGATACCTAATAAAGAGTTGGAAGACTTTCCATTTAAACAACCACTCCCTCTTAAAATCTGTAAATTGCTATAAGGAAAATATAGCAGAACATGCATAAAAGCCCAGTTTTAAAGAATATCGGAACTGTCAAGTGAATCTCGGTTATGCACGGAATTCTTCGGCGGACCATCAATCCTAGTTCTGATGAGTTAGTTGTATTCTCGAAAAAGCGAGAGCGGTGAAAAGAACTACTTTAAACACTGCTTTCAGTTGTGCTTTTAATAATATAAGAACAGAGAAACCTAAGCAACTCACGAGACAAGTGCCGTTCTCCTGGTCACAAATGTTGGAATGTTCATTGCACGAGCACTTTATACAATCAGGTCCATCACTTGACCGAGTGTAGCCTGGGGAACAGTACTAACGAAAACAAAATATTGAGTAAAGAGAGAGCAATAAAGGGATTTGAAATAATATCAAAAAAGAAAAGCGACTTGACTTAATTCTGTCCCATTTTTAAGTCACCCAATTTAATGAGCTCAAATTTTTATAACAATCAACAAGTCTTGAAAGACTAGAGGAAAAAAGTGTAGAAGATGTCAAAGTTTTACAGCTAAATGATGTTTGTTACCCTGCCTAATGGAATGAAGACGAACGAACACATGATGCAGTAAAAGAGAGGCGACTAAAGGTTATGTTTTTCTTTTAATGGTTTGGTGGTCACCAACTGGAACTTTTCGTGGTAAATAAGAATTTCGTTTTCAGAGCTTTTCTCATGAAGTTTGGAAGGGACCCTTACGAACAGATGGTAACGTTCTGGGAGCGAAGTTGGTCAAGTGAGAGTACATGGGAGTAGAACAAAATAATGCGCTTCATAAACCTGGGCCATCAACTTGTAACATCCATTGCTTACATCTTCAAGCTCTGCCATGATTCCTCATGACTAGAATGCTTGTTGAAGAGCAGCACAAATGTCCACAGCTGTATAATTGATGACAAACTTATGACTGACCTACGATGAACCCACAAGACCCCTTGATGTTATTGTGGCATTCGAATCTTTCATTCTCAACCACGATTAGCAAAAAATAAGTAATTTTTTCGACTAGATGAGTTGTATTAAAGTCCCACTCAATTTTTTGAAGTAGGACACATCGCGGTTTCAACTTAGAAACGAAAGGATGGATTACCTCACAAGATAGTCCACTATAGCCCACAGGGCATTCACACTGTTCCACTAACAAGGCCTTTCCAAAGCCTATGTTGTGTGGGGATGCCACGTCAAGGGAAATGTCTTTAATGCTGTAAAAAAAGTAAATCCCTAGTCAGCTAGGAGGAGGGTTTCAATTTTTTATTTAGATATGAAAAGTTCTTCATGTACCTTAATGAAGTGGCACTGGGTCCATCACCATGCGAGGCCCTTACATAGATGGCCTGGACGTCCGATAACACACTCATGAAAGTGTCCCTTGAAGCTGGCTCTCCGTTAGATGAACGCCATTTTGCCTGAATAACAAGAAGAGGGAGCGAACTGGGAAAAATGAGCGGTTTTTAATATGACACATTTTGTTGAGACGGCACTATAAACAGCACCTATCATGTACTGTACGGCATACCTCTGTGAGAGAGACCTCCATTGATGTTTGATAACCCTTAGTACTTGGCGGTTCTTCACGATAAAATACCAAGGTCCCCTGTTTTCCCTGACAAACATACATTGATTCATAAGTGACTACAGGATATCAACGCCTGGCAACACTGGAGTAATTCCTTTTCATTTGCTGGATATGTTCACTGTTAAGCTAGGAACATTTTCTAATGAAATTCACAACTAATATGTTTTTGATCTGGCTCGGCTTTTGCCACGGCCTAAAGGAGCAATGTCATGGATGACACCTTGCAAAATTCAATCTAAAATTTGTTCTTTTGTAATCCAACATATTCTTTTCCAGTGTTACCCATTCTAATTCATGTTCCTTTTTGCTTAACAGATGCCCAAGATGAATCTCTACTTTCGTAAATTATTACTTTAAAGATAGATGATGTCTTTGGTATCAGTTTAAAGAATTCTTGTAAAAGGACGAGCCTGTCTCCTTGACGATGCAATTGCAACTGAAAGCAAGAGAAAATTGTCTCATACAAGTATCTCTTCTAACTCTTTCATGCACTGATTCCTGTGACCGTGGTTGAATCTCTTCTTGAAATACTTCACATTCTATGGAGGAAATGTTACCACCATTTTGGACAGCGATCATTGTAGCGCGCGACTAATGATATTCTAAACAGCTTGCAAACCAAGGTTTAGTACCAAATGTTCAATAAAGACGCGCTGAAACAACTTTAGCTGTTTTCAGGCGTTCGGTTTGGAGACTCGGCTTCGCACTGCTCCCCAACCGTCTGAACGCCTCTCCAGAGTCTAAAAAAACGTGTAATGTAAGCCATATCTACTAAAAAGAGAATCCATACCACCAATCGAACGGCTTCTATGACCTGACCAGGTGTGGGAGATGGCGTTGTTGTGGTTTGCGTAACAGCCGCAGTTGTTGTTGTTACATCTAAAAAAAGAGATGGCACAGTAAAGATGGTTAAACTGCCAGAGTTCTATTCTTGAGCTAGTCTATACATAAATGTAAAGTGCATATTAACTGCAACTCTTAGTGAGGAGGACGCTGTTTGCTGAACAAAAATTTACGACCGACATGACACCTTATTGCAGTTGCCTCTAAGAGGGATTATGTCCCTAAAGAAACGTAATCACTATATTTACTCTCATTCGACCTTGTAATAAGTTTATCCGAGCTCAACCAAATCTCTAAAATCTAATCATTTGACAGGAATGTTTCTAAAATACAAATACATCTTCACTTAGTAGATAGAACAGGACATAAAGATGTCACCCGCCTTGATCTCTAAAGATACATTTTTAAACAAACCTGGTGTAGTTGCTTCTGAAGTTACCGTTTTTCTCGACCTCGAAGACACACTGGTGGTTGCTGCAGAAGACGCATATGTCACTGTTGTCATTGTTTCAGAAAGAGGCTTTTCAGTGCTGTAAGATGGAAAAGGCTCTGTAGTAGTTACATCATGATCACCATCGGTCGATGTATCCGTTGTTGTGTACAACGTAGCTGATTTTGTTGTTACTGCTCCTGAAGCAGGCTTGTCAGTGCTGTAGGCTGAAGGAGGCTCTGTAGTAGTTGTTTCATCATCACCATCGGTCGATGTATCCTTTGTTGTGTA